TTGCTCGGAAGGCCCCCCAAGAGACAGCACAGACTCCTGTCCCAGTCTGTCTAGGACTCATTTCTGCCTCTATTGCTTTCTGTGTGACCTTGAGCAAGTTATGTAAGCACTTTGTGTTCTAGTTCTTCAGCTGGGATAAAAGGAGTGATAATAGCGCTTGTCTCCCAGCACCACTGAGAGAACTTAATCAGCCGATGTAAAGTGCTTAGAGCAATGTCACATACCTAGCAAGAATTCTGAAATAGTTTCTCATTGCTTTATCTCCCACTGTGCACAATACCTATTTCCATAAGTAACTGTTTCTAATGTATTTGTGTTCTTAGCATATTTTAAAATATGTAATGTTAATATGTGTATGACCTGAGTTCAGGCTATCTATTTTGCTGTTTTTCTTTTTTCACCCAACACTGTGCTTTTGGAACACACACAATTGCTTATATTACCATTTAGGTCATTGTTTTGACCAGTCTGATAGCATACATATACTTGGTCTTTGACCTACTGATGGTCACCTAAGTTACCTCCAACTACCTTCTACCATAACTCCATAGTAAATACACCTGTATGTTTCGGAGCCAGCTCTTTCTGTCCACCATGGTTTCCATGGCTGATACTCAGGTCATTAGATTTGTTCAGTGAGCATATTTACCTGGTGGGCCATCTCACTATCTCACCAGCTTGATTTGTACATTTAAAAATGTACAACACTCAATAACATTTTTCAGATACACTATAAGTCATGAACAGGCTTTCTTTGGGCCACTAGCCAGCTCCCAAATAAAGACATGGATGCTTAATATTAGTTAAGAATGCTTGGCCTTATCTTATGCTCATTTATTTGAACCTGTTTTTCTTTGTCTACATTTTGCCTTAGGGTTTTTGTCTTTCTTTCATTCTGTATTTCCTACTCTGTGTCTGTCTGTCTGGTGGCTATCTGATTGGCTGGTCCTGGGCATCTCCCTCTCTTTCTTCCCCTTTTTACTCTTCTCTCTTCCACGAGTCTAGATTCCTTGTCTTACTTATTCTCTGTGCTAGCCAGTGCTGTCCATCTCTCTACTGCCTAGCTATTGGCCATTCAGCTTTTTATTAGAGCAATCAGGTACCTTAGGCAGGCAAAGTAACACTGCTTTACATAGTTAAACAACTGCAGCATAAACAAATGTAACACACCTTTACATAGTTAAAGAAATATTTCACAATAGGAGTGAGGTGGAGGACATGGCTTGGGACCGGGACAAAGAATCTTAGAAAGAGGTCTGTGGTGATCCTGAACTTTGCTAGACAAGGCCTTTGACATAGCTACAATTAAAATATCTATGTATATAAGCTGGTCTTATATTTTGCCACCTTTATATTGGATGTCATACAGTTTTTTTTGGGTTTGTAAACTTAAATGACTAATGTTTTATTAAACATTATGCCATTCTTAATATTAACTTCTCTATACTCAATAATTTTGAGGTCACACACATTAGATAAAAACCTGTGAAAAGGTGACACTACATTAATTATACACTTCTAAGGATGAATACATTTTCATAAACAGTTTTGACCTGCGGTGTCTGAATTCTGTAGATTTGAAGATTCTGTTGACTCTTTCATCTTGATAACACATTTATTTTCCAGGTTTGTTTTTGCTACTTGCTGTAGTGGACTGCTTCTGGGATTCTGAAGGCCCAGAAGTTATTGACTTCTGGCATCTCCACTCTCATCATACCATGAAGCATGAAGCATGACTCATGTTCTTTTGAGCTTCTGTTACTTCTTTTAAAAGTCTTCATTTTGGATTGGATATCATCGATAATATGTAGCTGACTCCTTCCCTTAAAGTTATTTGAAAGGAAGACATTTAGAGGAACATTTTAACATATGCTAACCATTAATAATTGCTATTTTCTTCATGACATAAGTGAATTATACTTACAGTTATCTGAGCACTAATTTCTGCCTTGGTTAAAAATGCTTAGGATTGACAGTGAGAATAGAACCCTTGGAGGATGTTTGAAGGAATAGCTTTGGATTGGTTCTTAGAAGGGGTGGAAGATTCTGAAATTCATATGGAGTACTTACCTATAAGATGCCCCTTCAGCGGTGTGATGGAATCTGATGCTGTGTTTGTGGGCCAGAGGTTCAGAGGAATGGGAGGAAGAAAAGAGGAAGAAAGGAGGAAATGAAGAAGGGGCAGGGAGAATAAGAAGATGGGTTAGAAATGGAGTGCCAGGCTTTTGTTGGAACTCTCTACATTTGAAAGGCCATGAACACCAAGGCAGCCCTTTCCTTTCTCTTCTGTGTCTCCATTTTTCCTCGCTGTGATATGTTTTTCTAGAGATAATTAAGATTCGAAAGCAATATAGTTACAGCTTTTATCTTTCTGAATGTTTCACAGAATAAAACTGCAACTTGAAATCCAAGGACCTAGGCCAAGGATGATACAGAGAGTTCAGAGCCCTCTGTCTGCAGAAAAGAACCTTTCCTAAGTGTTCCCTTCTAAAAGTTCCATACCTTTCCTTCAATACAAACCACCTCAGATTCTTTCTTTTATTCTAAACTATTGAGTTTGGGCTTTGCTAAATCATCCCTGCAAAGATTTGAGGCTGGTTCTGTATCATCAGTTCATTCAATCTGGTGCTTACCTGAAAATGTTCTGCTTTGCCCTGGTTATGAATCTGTACTCATGTTTGCTTGCTATGTCCTGTCTTTTTAAAATCCATGGAGGCATCTATTTAACACACATTTTCACTCCTGAGGCTGTGTGCCAGTCTCTTCAGCAGGTGCCAAGGTCTTAGAGAGGGATAAGTTAGTCATGCCTTCCATCCCAGAGGCTTAGAGATGGAAGCCGACAGTCATTCACAATTGATGTGATAGCGTCAGAGAGAGGCACTGGCTCTGAAAGTTCCTTAGCACTGGGAGACAGAGCAAATTCCCTGGGGCAGATGGTCTCTAGGTGGTGTTGGAGAATAAATATGAAATGTTTAAATCATGAGTGGGGATTGAGCAAAGGTCATTCTAGGCTGAGGGAATTGGCTGGTGATGTCAAAGGCACAAAGGCAATGCATCAGCCTGGAGGCTGCAGGGAACGAAGATGAAAGGGAATGGTGAGACACAAACTGGGTGAGATCATTGAGGCTGGTCAGGGAGTCACGCTTCGCTCTGCAGCAGAGTTTAGACTGTATTCATACGAACATGGGCAACCACAGGCAAGGGACAGTGGGACAAGACACGGCCAGCTTTGTGTTGTGGGAAACTCCAGGGAGGAACACGTGAAGTGAACATGTGGAGCTAGACCAAGGAAGTAATAGAGCTGGAAAGAGGAATGAAAAACCCTTAGGATGGGAAGTTGGTTCATCTGACTGGTGTGGACAGCTGCTCAGGGTCTGAAGTGTCCAACGTCATGATCAAAGGGCAGTGACAATAGAGTTACTGAAGAAGCGATTCCAGAGAAGCATGGTTGAGGAACTCAGGACCAAGATGGAGGTTTGCTTTCAACAAGGCTGCCTTGGGCTGTCAGCCTCTCTCAACCCTTGCCTTCCTTGGGTGTCTGCTTTCAACACAATGAGCAGGCTTAGAATAATTATGGTTGTCCATAGAAGCCTCCAACCTTATCTTCTTGTGAAACTCAGGTTTCATCTTTTATAAGCACATCTTGCTTGTTTTATTTGATTCTGATTGCAGAATGTGGGCATGAGTGAAAGTTTTAGGGAAAATTCAGTGTCAGTTTTCTCTGTTCTATGGTAGGTCTGTCTCTTGGAGGGTTGTTTGGTCAGAATGGAGTGGCAGTAAATTTGGCAGAAGGTAGGTGGAGCCCTTGCATATAGCACTTCCATTCCTGTGCGGGGTTAGAGAGCAGAGTTATGAGTTCGTAATATTGCATAGCTGTGCTTGAGAGAATCTATCTAAATAGTCATCAAAGCAAGCTGGGACAGAGTTTGTAACCAGGAACTACAAGGTTGAACTTGAGTTCCAGAAAATGAAGAAAGGCAAGTTCATGAGTCCCATAACCCAGAAAAAGACACAGGAGTAGGAAAACACAGGTTACTATAGACTGGCAGATTTATCGTACATAGACTTACAGATGTTGTCATTTCCTTGGTAATGGATGCAAAATAAGAAAGGTCATTGGTGAGTGTGAAGACTCCTAGAAGTCCAGGAGTGGTATTAATGGCCCATATGTTGCCACAGGAACTCTCCAGTGTGGTTTGGATGTTCCTTTATTGCGGTTTTTGGAAAAGGTGCCATGCAATTAGGGGTCTGGTGAGAGTATGTGTCATCTGAATCTCTAGCATCCAAAGATGCTCTGAGAATCAGGAAGATGTTCTCAATCTGTTATGTTCTAAGAATAGTTTGGGACATGATGCTCATTGCACCCTTGACTATTATTTCATTTGCATCAGGGTTGTCATAATAGTCCTGCAGCAGAAATTTGACTTGATTTTTCCTTATAACTTGGGAGTAAGGGTTACATTGACTGAACTCAGCTTAAGTTCTTTTAAGTAGATTGTAGTCAGCTCGAAAACTCTTTTAGATTTGCAGTTATGTAATTCAAAGGACTCTTTTAACGCTTGATGGAAACAAAGGCTCTGAAGTGTCCTGTCATCTAGGTATCATCTGAACAGCACTTAGGAAAAGTGGAGATTAGAATAAATGCTATGCTTAAAGAGTATTAGTGAGCTTTTCTGCAACTTCATAAAGTTAATGAGTGTATTTCATGGGTATTTAGAGGTTTGAAGTTTTTTCAAAGTGTCTCTAAGCTTCTAGAAAATTGCTCAGCTCATTTATTGATTGTATAAGGGTGCTTAAGCATTAATCCCCTAAGTCATTAGAGTGGTGAACAAGCAATCGTCAGTATCTCACCTTATTCCATTAATCAAGACCTTCTGATGAATGTGGAACACACATCCAATTTCTCACTCTGAGACTGGTAGTTAATCTCAAAAGGTTATTATATGGCAATATTCGTATGGAAAAAAGAAACAAACCTAAAACGTACCCTTTGTTCACAGGCAACTATAGAGTGGGAGACATATTTGAGAGACAAATGCTTTCTGCTTAAGCTCAGGCTGTTGAACTTGGCACAGAACAGCAGCCCTTCCAAGCTTTATTTACTGTGTGTTCTCTGAAGATACCACTGTATCAGGTGAGATAAATACATTAGAATTTTATATCAGTTCTGGGTCTGTCTTCAAGGTAGAGTGTTTTCTTATTGGAACAATGTGATTGTCATTGTTGCATGACGAGTATTTGGCAGAGCTATAGAGACTGGAGCTTTCCAGTCAATTTGCATAATAAAATTCTCATTGAATTATAGTTTAACTTAGGGGAAATATGAGTCTAATTTGATTTGACATTTATATACTAGAGGTGTCTGAAATATGTCTCCTCCATGTTGCTAACTACTATTTTCACAGACAGAGGCAGCCTGGTCTGACCTTTCCTGTGACACAGAGACAAAAGTGAGGTGTTGAAAACTGTACATTCAGGTAATTCTGCATATTCTTTGGTTTGGATGGTCATAACTTGTTTCTGTTGGACATTCCATGTCTGACATTGAACAATATGTGACTTTCATCTCTTTGGGTTCACTCACAACCAAGAGTTTTGTTCTGCTTCATTAGGGTGGTCATGCCTGCTTCAGCAGCTGTCTAAATGGTTAGCCTCAGCCTACACACAGGTTCCCTCCATATCTATGAGCTGGCCAAGTCGCTCTGTGAAGGGCCTGCCATGGCTTGACTGTGTCCTCTCTATAATTCACGTGTTGAGACACAATGACAATACAGTGGACTTAAGACACCCTAGGGGCCTCTAAGGGGTGATGAGACTTTGAGGACTCTGTCCATGTGAGTGGGATTAAGGATCTCAACAAAGACGCTGCATGCAGTGGAGGCTTCCTTGCCTTTCTGCCCTTCATGTGAGGACAAAGTACTTCTTTCCTCTGGCTCATGTAGCCACATGGTGCTGTCTTGGAAGCAGAAGGCAGCCCCTTCCTGGCCACCCCCAGACAACCAGACCAAGGGATTCAATCTCAGACTTGCCAGACTCTAGAATTGTGACCTATATCCCCATTCTTTTATTTACTGGAAAGAATGCAGGTATCTCTTATAGCCTGGCCTCAAACACCTTGTAGGGGAGTGTAGCCCTGAACTTCTGACTCTCTTGATCCTTCTGAGTCTAGGATTACAAGCATGCACCACCATGCCTAGCTCATACTCTGCTGGAGACTAAACATAGTGCTTTGTGTATAACAGCAAGCACCCTACCTACTGAGGTACACTCCCAGCCTCAAACCTTGATAACTACTAAGTCTGTGGAATTTTGTTACAGTAGGACAAACAAAAACAGTCTCATTGTACTCTAGGTATCTCAATGACATTAGATTTCAAAAGCCTTTATATCTGTCTTATAAATATTTGTGGTTTGTTTCTCTGGTGTTTTCTCATTTTTAACCTATTACATGTTCTTTTGGTTTAACCAGTTGTTGATTTAATCTATTACTTTGAAGAAGCTAGTATCTTTTCATGGTTTATTAATTAGTCAACCTACCTATTATAATTGAGTTTCCTTATCTAAAATCCAAACAGAAGTCCTAATGCCAGCTGAATCACAGGGTTTTTTTTTGTTGTTGTTGTTGTTTCTCGAGACAGGGTAATTGCCTTGACTGTCCTGGAACTCACTCTGTTGTCCAGTCTGGTCTCAAACTCACAGAGATCTGCCTGCTTCTGCCTCCTCAAATCTGGGATTAAAGGTATGTGCCACTATCCCCCCTCCCCTTGAAACACAGATTTGAGCATCCAATGTTCATTTGGAGGGGTAGCAGACTACTTTTATGAGGTGTGTTGGGTTTAATAATTCCTTACCTTCAGTCTCTAGAAACTTACTGTCAAGGCTTCTTTCAGCGTATTTTTCTAGATGACTCAAATCTATTTTATCTATACTTAATATAATCTGGAAGGATGATAAAATTAAATTAAAATCCCCAGTGTTAGACTACCAGTTTTGCACAGGTTCTACATTTGTGGAGCATGGATGTTGCCACTTAGCCCCAACAGCTAAGTAAAAAGACATTGAAAACCAGCTCTCCTTGCATTTGGGGGAGATGTCACTCCCTTCAGGTCTGGAGAGACACCAGTCTATAGTGTCATAGTTTTCCTATGTAGCAACTCACAGGGGGGAGTTGCTTAAGAACCAAGGCTGATGCAGGAAAAAGGAGAAAACTGACATTGTGGGAAGCCCAGTCTGGGGTGGGAAGCTGAGAATCAAAACCTGTAATAGGTCAGGCAGTCATGAAAGGTCAGAGGAAAATATACTTATTGCTTCTAGTATCAACAATTGTTGCTAGGGAATGAGAAAAAACAATGGAAATACATTAGAGCACTCTGCTTTTCTAACAAGGCTGTCTAAAAAGGGTATTTTAAAAATGATTTATTTTGTTTTTTGAGATTATAATTACACAATTTCACCCCTCTCCCTTTCTCCTTTCAAACCCTCTAATATGCCTCCTCTTGCACTGTTTCAAAGTCATAGCCTTATGTTTCATTAATTATTGTTACATACATATAAATATGTATATACACATATATTTCAAAATATATAAATACATCCTGCTCAATCTTTATAATGTTGTTTGTATGTATCAGGGATGACCAGTGCTCTTCAGCACTCCCTGGTTGCCTGGTCTCCCTGGACTTCTCCATTCCACTTTAACACCTCTTTTGTTATTGTCCTGTTCGGCTCGTGTTTGGGCAGCCATGTTGGTGAGACTTTGAGGTGTAGCTTCTGACATTCCTAGGAGATATAGTCTCACATCGAACTCACTGATCATTTGGTTCTTAGAAAGGGTTTCCTTCTCCTGTTTCCCAGTGGTCCCAGAGCCCTTGTTACGGGAGTTGTTTCACAGATGTACCATTTAGGACTGTGCTCCCTAATTCTGCATTTTGATTGGTTGATTTTCTGTACTGATCTTCTGTTGCAATGAGAAGTTTCTTGGATGAGGGGGTGGTAGACTACACTTCTGTGCATATAAAGACAAATATTTAGGATGTAGCTAGGGATTATGTTGGTTTAGTAATCTATTGGTTATGGTTCTCCTCTGAGATCCATGACTTCACTATCCCTTGGTAGCTGGTTAGGTTTCTAGTACCAGGCATGATTTTCTTGTTGAGTAGATCTTAGGTCTTCTCGAAAGTTGTTGGTTACTGCCAAGGTATGTGTACCACTATAGTCTCCTTAGGGCTATTGTGTCATGATGATTGTTGTGGTGGTTTATAGGTATCATGGCTGGGTAGGGCTGTTACTAGCTTCCCAAAGAGGGTGTATTTATAGACTTTAACATGATTGAGTTATAGAAGGGCAGAACTGACCTGGAGGGAAGGGAAATAGACAGCTTCGGCTGGTTGTCACTATCCTGTTCTCTGAAACAGAAAGACCAAGACACATGTGTATTATCCAGAGATGTAGCCTCACAGAGACTGAGGTTGAATCATTAAACTGCAGGTTAGTTCTCCTCTCATGCCTTACTACTGTACTTATAAAGGTGTTATGCAGCATATCATATATGGCTATCAAGAAACATGTGAATTGAGAGTTTGAGTACAGTCTGGGCTACTTAGCAAGATAGTTTCTCAAAACCTCAAGAGCTAGGGATGAAAGTGAGTGGTAGATCATTTACCTAGCATGCATAAAGCTCTTATTTTTATTACCATGACTGGAATAAAAGTGACAAAGTATGCTGAAAGGCAAAAGAAACGAAACACTCCCAAATACAGAAAGCAAACCAGTACACCAAAACTCTAAAACAAAACACAATCCCTGCAATTTGAAGAGACAGAGCAGATAGTAGAACCAGTCACAACAAGGATGTTTGAGTTCCTAGACTAGGAGCTTACAATGACAAGGATAATACATTAAGGGTTTTAATGCTCAAAGTAGACAGCACATAAGAAGAGATGAACAACTTAGCTATAAAGATGGAACACCTCAGAAAGAACAAGGAAGAAGAATTAGAAACAGAGAAGGAGGAGTAGGAGGAACAGAAGTAGGAAGAGGAGCAGGAGAAGGAGGGGCAGGAGAAGGTGGAGGAGGGAGAAAAGGAAGAGAAGGAGGGGGAGATGGGGGAGAAGGGGGAGAAGGGGGAAGAGTTGGAGAAGGAGGAGCAGGAGGAAGAACCACTATGGCAGAAGAGACAATGCTTATTGGTACATGTGGCATAGCTAAAAAAAAGAAATCTGAATTTGAAGACTGATCAATTGGAACTTCACAAACTGAAAAGCAAAAAGGGAACGTATTGGAGACAGAAAATCCAACAACAGTGGGACAGTTAACATTGTAAGATGTGGATAGTGGGGCTACCAGAAAAGAAAAAGAAACCAAATATTTGAAGCAATAAGTACTGCCTCTCTTCTACAAAAAAAAATTCCAAATTGAAAACTATCAATCCCTGTTCCCTAGTCACATATCTAAAAAGTATAGAAAACACCTAGCAGGACAAATGCCAAAAACTACAAATCATAAAAATTTCATCAAAAATAAAAACAAAAATAGCATCAGTAAAGCATATCATATTTAAGTTTCAGAAAATCAAAAGTATATAGTAGGACTGACCACCCAGAGTCTGGCCACACCTCAGTCTTGGCTGCCCTCTCTGGCCTCCGCCCTCTGCTTGAGGTGAGTGTGGGCTCTTCTTGGGCCTGGCTTCCCCCAACCCCCTTCTTGAAACGTCCTGGGACTGTTCCGAGAGTGGTGGACCTGCACCCGGAGTCTGACCACACTTTGGTCTTGGCCCCCTCTGCTCACTCTGCCCTTTTCTTGAGCTTGAGTGAGGAGAACACTAGGATTGGCCAGACCATCCAGAGTTGCAGACACTGAAGTCTTGATCCACCTATGCCACCAGGAGATGTGAGGAGACAGAGAGACCCCACCTGCACTCACTGGAAGAAGGGATGGGAAGACGACAGTATAAGAACACACTCAACAACAGAAAGACCAATATGACACCATCAGAATCTAGGGACTCTGTACCAGCAAGACCTGAACATCCCAATGCAGATGAAGCAGAAAAGAAGTACCTTAAAAATAACTTTATGAAGATATTACAGACTCTCAAAGAGGAAATGAGAAAATTCCTTAAAGAAATGGAAGAAAAAACAAACAAAAATACAGGAAACAAAGGAAAAGACAACAAAAAATTCAAGAAATAAACAAATCCCTTAACGAATGCAAAGAAAGCCAAGAAACAAAAACCAAACAAATGAAGGAAACAATTCAAACAGTTCAAGGTTTGAAAGCTGAAATAGAAACAATAAAGAAAACACAGAATGAGGGAAAGCTGGAAATAGAAAAGCTGGGTAAATGATCAGGAACTATAGATGTAAGTATAACCAATAGAATACAAGAGATGGAAGAGAGAATCTCAGGTGTTGAAGACTCACTAGAGGAAACACAATCATTGCAAAAAGAAAATCTCAAGTCCAACAAA